GGAGGGGTTTGTGCGGGGAGAAGGGTGCAACAATGAATGAATGGAATTCCAAAATCTCTGTAGATGTTCATTGAAATGAAAAATAAACAAACTAAATTAATTAAGAAAAATTCTACATGAATAGCTTGAAATTTGTCTACATTTGTATTTGTATGTGCCATGAACAGATCTAGGTACATAGTACAGCCAGCAAGGAGTAAAATCATGAAAATGTCTTTAGCCATAACCAAACACTTGGAAAGCATTGAGTCACTAGGCCTGGGAGCTCAGGACTGATGTCATGAAGGACAAATCCATAGTATACTCCACAAGGAAAATGCTCTACATCTTACTCTGGTGACTTAAAAGCTTGTGAAGAAAGCACATCCCTGACTAGAGATCTTTCTTCAGTCTCTGTGATTCTGAGACCTCAAGAGCTAGATGAGGTCTGGTTACCCTGTGGACCACGCTGGACGGATCATAATGTGGAACAAATCTTAATAATAAAAAAAAGACTACACTTGCTGGTCTGACAAGAGACCGTTAGAGCCTGTGAGGCTATGGCCCTTAGTCACTGTGCAGCCTGTACCAGAAATGACAATTACTCCTAGGACTCAAGTTTCCAGTCAAAAGACAAATTACGGGATCAGTAACACCAGGCAGAGCACACTCCTTAGAACAATCAACCACACAAGATCAAAGGGGTGACACCTGCCCAGGAGAGGACAACAAATGGGGCCAGAAGCACAGGGTGCAGTGGGAGAGCTGCTGCTACACTGTGGGGGCCGTAACCAAGTCAGGAAATTCAGGGGATGAACTGCTCAAGGGAAAGCCAATCTGCTTTGTAAACATTAAATCACAATAAAAAGTAAAAAAAGAAAGCGGTTGTGAGCTAACATAATTCACTTCCTTTTTTTCCTGTGTAAAAACAGTACCCCAAAACCCTCACAAAACCCAAATACCTTGAAATTTCACACAAAATGGAGGGATTAGCACCCCTTCGCCTAATCCCACCCTGCGAGGAAAGAAGGTCCACACCACGAGCTCCTTAGCCTCCCAGCATTGTCTCACTGAATTACTCAAATAGGAAATAAAAAAGGAGGTTAAAAGTGACAGTTCACGGGGAGCTCTGGTGGCCTAGTGCCAAGAAGCTACACTACAATCCCAGAGGCGCATGGTTCGAATCCACCAGATGCTCTGCCGGGGAA